CTCCTGGACAGGAGGTTGAAATGTAGGATATGTTTTGGAAAAGGAGGATGTCTGGTCACTCTGTATTAGATAGCCTTGTATGTGTGTGTGTGTGTGTGTGCCCTAGCAATAGATAGATAGATAAGTTGGGACCAGAGGGAAGAGAGGAAAAAATGGAGCTACATATTCAGAATCTTGTTCATTGTCTGACTGTTCACAACTGTAAAGGAAAAGAGAACAAATACTGATTTAAGAACTACTAGTAACATCTTCTTCCTATTTTCACACCCTTTCTGCTTGTACTTGTGCAGCTAGCTTCTATCATCCCATCCTGGTTATAATTCTGAAAATCAACATTCATCACACACACCGCACATCATGTTTCATTATTCCTGAGAGCCATTGTGTCTAGTAAGCAGGGACAATATGGTGCCATTTTCTCCTGGAACTGAAATAGTTATTAAACTCGGAAGTAGGAGGAGACAGAAGGAATTTTAAAAAAAATGCTCCAGCATTTTTGTTCATCAATTCAGATTAAAATTTTAATTTCACGGTACAATGAGCCCGTATGCAGCTATATCTATTAAGGTCACCTATTTCAGAAAGCCGACATAGGAACTGATGGACACAAAGCTCTTTAGAAGATAAGAATCACACCTTCAGACTTTCTACCTCTTGCAATTCTAAATGAAAGACTTGCTATTTTTTCTCAGCCGCTCTCTCCAATACCCAAGACGACATTTTTTTTCCTGCAGAAAAGAAACAGACCCTTTCCTCCTTTCATTGCTGAATGCAGTATGTTGAATACCTGGAACGTGGCATCTGATTGAGGTTTTCCTTGTGGAAGAACGAACCAAAACAGCTCAGTTATTTTGTGAAAAAAATTAATATTATAGTATGTGAAAGAGAATGAGAGTGAGAGCGAGAGAGAGGTCTCTCTTCTAATAGCATCTCATCATTTTCTGCAAAAAAGAAGCATTTTTATTCATCTAAATTGCCTTTGTTTGCCCTTGGTGACTTCATCACACAGCTAGATCTGATTGGTTTCATGGTGTTATTACATCATCCTGCTGCCTTACATTGAGTCACACCATTGGTTCATTTGATCTAGGGATGTAAAAATTTGTCATTTTCATTGTCCCCTTTTTTAAAAAGCATCTTACCAGCATTGCTGTCCTGTCTCAGATCTATACTGGACTGAGAAAGTTTTTTCTTCTTGTTGTTTTTGCACAGAGATCCATGTGTATTTTTATGTACATTTTTTCACAGGTACGCTGGATTTACTATGTGTTTTTTCCCATGTGTTCATTTATATGCAATTGCCCCATGGTCTAAAGTTTGTTTGTGTGCTCAAATATAATATACCCCAAATATAAGCCTTTTACAGCATGCACAGTTTTTGAAAGCATGTCATGTTTGTGCACATTTTGCCTTTGCTGAAATTCACTGCAAGCCTCAGAAATGTATGCACATGCAAAGCACCCCATCATTGTTCTCAGGAGGTGTGGAATGAATACTTTTATAGGAAAATGCAAATGCAACAAATTTATTTTTCATTCCTAATTTCACCCAGTAAAGTCTGGCCACTCTTCTAGTAGCTTTTCAGGATCTCTAACAACTGACTCATTGAAAACATGGTGCTGGAAGAGAGTTTGATGGATATCATGGACCCCTGAAAAAGACAAATCAATGGATTCTCAAGCAAATCAGGCTCTAGAAACCAAGATGACTGAGGCAGTGGTACTTTGGACATGTCATGAGATGGCATGAATCACTTGAAAAGATGATAGTGCTCAGTGAAATGGAAGGCAGTAGGAAACAGGAGCATCACTAGAGGGGTGCAAAGTGTGTGTATCACACCAGGTGACACTTCAGAGGGGGTGTACATCTGGTGCAGTTGTACACCTGCTGGGACTGGCAGAGCTGCTGGGTAAATGAGAAAGGGAGTCACCTCACTTTCTCACTCACCTGTCCTGTTTTGCTCTTGGAAACAAACTATAGACCCAGCAGGAAGGCTCAGTGTCCCAAGAAAGCCCAGTATCCCAGAGATTTTCTAGGAGATAGAGAAAGCATCCAAGTCTGTCACTGCCCCCATGGCAACCTGTTCTGGGCAACCGCAATGGGTAACACCAACCCTATTAACACCGCTGGTAAGAAAAGAGGGAGATCACACTACAGGTGGATTGATTCAGCCAAAGAATCCATAGCACTGAGTTTGTAAAACCAGAGCAGAGCAATTTATGACTGGGGCACTTGGCAATCTGAAAAAGGGTAGATGGCAGAAGCTGACAAAGACCTATGCACCATCCCAAAAGATATAACTGTACATACAATAATTACACCTGTGGAACTCTGTTTGCACAATTGTCAAATGACTGTAAACATTATGCAATGGCCAAAAAAGTACAATCACATGTGTAAGGGAATTTATGTGTGCATAAAACACCAACAGGATGCCAGCTATTGACACAGTGCTGGGAACCATTAGTAACCTTCCCTTTGAGCAGCTGTTGCTCTTGATAAGCGTATTAGCCACCGATCAAGTTTTCTACTTGAATGGGAAAGCATAGCAGCAATGTCTACATGAACATTTTTGAATTCTTCTAATGCCTTTTCTATTTTTAACTATTTTTTCCCTTTACACATTCTCCCTTATCTTACAAGTAGAATATAACAGAACAGTATGCCTGCACTGAAGTTGAGAAGTGAGGGATTTCAGTTATGTTAAGACCGGTTCACATTGGTCACCTTATATTATAATCTATCTATCTATCTATCTATCTATCTATCTATCTATCTATCTATCTATCTATCTATCTATCTATCTATCTATCTATCTATCTATCTATCTATCTATCTATTAAAATATTTCTACTGTGCCCCCTAGCAGAAAAGATTTAATGCTGACTTAGAAATAAATTTAGGCCCCATTCACACTACGGAAATAACTCAGTATGAAACTGGATTGTTTCCATGACATTCACACTGGCCCCAAATGCACTCAGAGCCATGTGCAGAAGGGGCATGGAAAATCCACTAAACCCAGTGTATTCAACACTGGATCCTTAAGTGCATCTTTTTTTAAAGGTCTGGAGTGAACCAGATCTTTGGTAGTGTGAGTATGCTATCGAATCGATCCAGATTGCAGGGATCATTCTCAGACATGGAAGCGCCTCCATGTTGAAGTGAAGTGGTGTGTGTGTGCATGCAGGAGAGGATTTAAATGCTTCAGAGAAATTTGGTCATGTTAAACATAGTGAGAACATTAATCTTGTATTGCATCACTGCGGAGATCTGGATCTCTGCAGGACAAAAACGTGTGAATGACCCCTTAGAAACAAACCAGTTAAAACAATAACATAATTTCATGAGAATAAAACATATTCAATATAATGAGTTAAACAGTTGTGCAAAATTTTAAAAAGTTTAAAAATGCATGCATTAGTAGTTAAGATGAATCAGTGCAGCCCAAAGGCCTTGATGAATAGCCAGATTTTCATTTGGCACCTAAAGGAAATTAGTTGTGTAGCATGAGTGCTTTTTCCAAATAATGTTCAAAAAGGTACTTCCTTGCACAATAGTTTTTTTCTCCCATGGCTTCTGGATATCTCCGCTTCCAATGCCTCCTGGTTTGCTAAGGGAACACCTCAGAGACCGCTATCACCCTGATATCCTGATGGCACCTACTGACACCCTGACATACAGATGGCACTCTGGACTTCAGGATGACCAGAGGTCCTAACCGCAAAGGAGGACTAGGCACTGCAAAATGTCGGACATTACAAAATAAAAGCTAAAAACACTTATGTAAGTGTAAATTCATGCTTCTTAGTCATGCGTAAAATAGAGGACATTTTGAAATTCCTCCTGGACAGAAGGCTGAAATTAGGACATGTTCTAGAAAAGGAGCATGTCTGGTCACCCCGCACTGGTAGAATTTTTGGCTCCACCAGTGTTAAATGGGATCTTAGCCTCAGACTACAGCTCCCAGGATCCATGGGGCATCCTAGGCATTGTAGTCCAACAAATACAGTTTCTGGGCTCTGAAGACCTAAACCATTGCCTAAAGGCAGACAGAAAGTTAGGGAAAATATGTGGCCATAATACGCACCATGGGCCAGGTGCACCATATGGCAGAAGAGGCTAGCTGCCTGTCTAGCATAATTTAATAAGAATTTGCCACACCAGAAGCCACATGCCAATCTGGGCTCTTTTATTACTTCCCAGGAAGTCTGAGTACCCTCTAGAGTTTTCTGTCTTTTTGTAGTAGGCTCTGACATGTCGTCTCAGTTACACCTTGCCCTTGCAGGCAACACAAAAGGATTTCATTTTAGATCAAGCATTCGCCTCCAGAGCTCTTAAACCTTCAGTTCAGTGCATTGTAATTGGTTTCTCAGAGAGAACTCAGCTCCAACAATGACAAAGAAGCTGCGACCTTCATCCTGGCTCTCTTGGAGAATATATTTTGACTCCAATTCTTCCCACGAAAGCACATGTCAAAGTTAAGCACAAATGGGGTATTTAGTGAGCTGCTGCATTTAACACTTCAGGAATAGGTCTGTTACTTACATTTAACTCTGCTTAACTGTGCTTATAAGGAGATGAGACGTAGAGGAGAAAAAGAGGAAAAATTGCTGGAGGGATAAGATTTATGTAGGGGTGGAAATCCACAGTTCAGCAGTGAAAAACCTGGCCACTTTTGTATTTGTCACCTTATTTTATTTTCTATGCCAGAAGATACATATTCTGGCTGCTCATTGACTACCTAAAAAGACCTTTCCCACCTAGCTAAATCACAACTGTGTGGCATGACTCTTCCTGCAGGAGGCACTGTTCACACATGGCTACACCTATGGAAGATGTCTGGAAGTGTTGAAGGACAAAAGTCCTGCAGTCATACCCATGGTGATGTTGTGTGTCTTCAAGTCATTTCCAACATATTGCAATGCTAAGGTGAACCTACCATGGGGCTTTCTGGGACTGAAAGTGTGATTTGTCTAAGGTCACCCAGTGGGTTTCCATGCTCAAACAGGGAATCAAACCCTGGTCTCCAGAGCTGTAGTCCAATGCTCAAACCACTCCACCATGCTGGCTCATAGTACATTCTCATAGTACAAAGATGAAAAAGCAAAACAGATCCAGACCTCATTTATTTTGCCAAAAACCTCTTCCTTTTTGCCTCCACATGATGGGAATGGAAATTCATCAACATCTGGAGGTCCACACTTTAGCCAACTCTACCTTAAAAACTTTGTGAAAATCAGCAGAGAAGGGGGGCATACACAATGTAATGCCACCAAAGTCCATTCTAAAGATGTTTCTCAACCTATAATAATCTTTTCTTTCTTCCCCTAATTTCTCACCATTCAGCTTCACTGGATTTCTCTCTGTACACTTCTTTGACACTATACATGTTTTTAAATAACACTTCTATCATATCTCTCTGCTTCTGGACCTTTTTCCTAGCCATGCAATTCCAAACATCATAGTTTGTCTTCATAATGGCGTTGCTCTATCCCTAGAAAATTTGGGCTGCCCTTTTCTTGAGGATGGGGAAGAAATCACACTGTTGATTTCCTAAGGATGGTTGAAAGGGTTCATCTTGGCATAATGAAATTGGTCTCTTGAAGATTCTTCAACCCCACATCCCCATAAGAGATTTCCCCTCCAACATAGGATTAGGGCTGCATCTGCACTGCAGAAATAATGCAGCTTGACACTGTTTTAACTGCCATGGCTCCATGCTATAGGATCCTGGGATTTTGTTATGGCATCAGAGTTCTCTGACAGAGAAGGCTAAATGATTCATCATCTTAAAACAATTTAAAATATGCACTTAAAGTAAGCATCAAAACAGTACCTTTTAAAATGATATAGCACTCTCATTACAGTCCTTTTCTCAAAATCTTAACTTTGAAAAGCCTGCCTGAATACAAAAAAGTATTCACTTGCTGAAGGAAGGGCAGCAAGGAAGGATCCATTTGAGTGTCCCTAGATGGGGAATTCCAAAGACTAGGAGCAGCCACCAAGAAGGTCTTCTCTCTTGTCCCTGTCAACTGAAACTGTGAAAGTGGTGGTACTGAATTATGATTTAATTATATGGATCAAAGCAACATGCAGTTAAACAATGAATAATAAAGAAGTAAATATAAAGTACAGATAGGTTTTTTATGTAATTAAATAAAAATATTCCTCCTTCTAAAGATAAGTGTGCCCACATGACAAGCAGAAAAGGACAAGTGGATTGATCACAAAGATGCCCACAATCCAGACAATGATATGACGTTTTCCTGATCTATGCAATGAAACCATGCAACTCTTACCACATTTTGAAATTTTCGCATTTTAGAGAAATGAACAAACAAACAGATTGAAAAGTGTGCCAAATCTCTTATAGATTCCTGTCCTCTCTACCCTCACCCCCAAAGACTCTGTTCTATGGCTGGATGAAATTTTGAGTGTGTGTATGTTGTCTATTTATCATCTGTCTGAGGATGAAACTCCAGGGATATAGTCAACACTTTTTTTGTCATTCCCTTAATCTCACTTATACCTCCATATATTCTGCCCATCAACATGCTGATTTGTATGTTATATACTGATTTCTCTAGACCATTTTGACATTCTGTATGTTCATTAATCTGATAATAACTCCACTAAACTGTGTAGGGAAGGGCTAACTAGTCAGTCATGATGCAGAATTCTGAAAAGGTCAAGGCTATATAGTGGGTAACCATATTTCACATGTTATCCTGGGCATAAAATGCTGGCACCTCATTCTTATCAACAAGGTCATGATGTGAAGAAAAGTTGGTAGGACAGCTCCCCAGTTGGTGACAAAATAAGATGCTTATTCTTTGAATCCATGCTTCTGTAGTCTTCTGGCTACGGAGTTAGCAGTTCCCAGGTTAACAGCAACTGCAACCAAACAGAATCGATGAACCAGGTTGTTGTTATTATAGCTAAGCATCTCAACATCAGATGATGCATAGTCCAGCTCATTAAAAGCATTTGCAAAGAGAGGTTTCACACTGAAGACACCTCACTTTCCTTGAGAACTGCAAAGCCAGGTGAAGGCACATCTGAAGGTCTGAGAAGAGCTACCTTGTGAAGCTCTGAAGATACCACTATCCAGGTCTAAAAGCATCTCACAAAATCACCATGTGGAAGCTGGCCAGGTCTAAGCATGGTGCAAGCAGTGTTGCAGTTCTTCATTAATTTCATCTTTGAAGGAAGTGACGAGTAATTTTAGCAATCGTCTTCTCCCTGTAAGAATGTCTTTGAAAACTGCATACTATACTTTTTGAAGACTATTCACAGTCCAGAACTTATTCTGCACAAAATTCTCATGCGGGTATTTCTGCACAGAAAATGTTATTTTCTGTATAGAAAATGCTATTTTCTGTTGGGGGGGGGGTG